GTAGTGTTCATTGGCGATGGAAAATGGTCGAAAGAGATCGACCGGTGAACTGGAATTGCTGACTGCGTCTTGCTTGTTGTAGTCCAAACAATTGTGACTGAAGGAAAGTTGACTGTAAAGATAAGCTACGTGTTCATTCCTATGTTCATGCTGATGCTCACCTACGAGGATGAGTCCAAGATCATAACTGCAAAGTTTCGATCATGGGTGTAAGCGGTAGAAACGGGATTTGGGGCGATTCGCTGGGCTTTACGTGGTCCAGAGTTACAGATATCCGAGATATTCTTGGTGTACAACTGCTGCTGTTCCAAAATGAAAGTCGGTGCTGCAACGATTAGTGACGTGTTGTCAATGCCTACGGAGAAAAAGGCGAAACAATTAGTACTTGCCTAATCGACCGGCGTAAAATCCCGGGGACAGCCAAAAATAATCTGGGAAAGTATACGCAAGGACTCTTCTCCAGACTTGGGTTATCTTCTGCCGAAGCTCAATCGCTTGCAAAAGAACCGAAACGTTAGAGACACTGTGACGCCTTTGCCTCCACGATCCTAAATTATAAACAGTCATCGAAACTGATTGACTAAATGTACAGTTTATGAGTTTAGACACCTGACTCTCATGTGACACTATTCTGGCGTAGAAATGGCAAAAGCGAGGTTGCAGGTAAGTAGATCGTTGATCTCTTTACTACAGCTTGGTTGGGATTCAGTCGGTTTGAAGGTCAGTCAGCAATTGAGGGGTGTCTTCACCGAATTCGTTGGTGTCCCGATCCTCCGTGTCACTGATGGGACACAAAATTTGAACGCCTCATTTAGTAAGTCAGCGGTTAGTTTTGACATATGATGTCGCCATGCTCACAAAGGTGTGAATATCAACTAAATACAGATTGATTATACGCCACGTGATGATAATCTAGTCGACCTATTATGGCAGTTTTGACTGCACGTACGTTTGTTACGACGTTATGGTTTATTCCTTCTTTGATTTCCGAGCTTGTTCTAAGATGACTGCTTAATAAGTGGTAAATATTACGCTTCTTTTATACTTAACTTAAGATTTGTGTACCTTCAACTTTTAATATAACACATAGTGACGGTGTGTAGTCATTATTCACCAAAAATCTGACAAGAAACTCACGAGGCTCATGAAACTCATCTGGCTCATGAGGTCAAGCAAGACCGCACCACCTGTTTATTACACAGAAGTATAGTCGCTTCGTCATACCGTGGTGGCATGGTTATTGACATCACTGCCCCACCATTAGCTTCACCGAAAGAAGGGGTCAGAAATGACCTAATCATGAAAATGCAAGGAAAATCGACGTCCAAACGGCTATAAATTTTCTTCGTTCGTTTCTTGTTCCACAGCAGTCAGAAATAATTATTTACCACAGCGGTTGTGACAAGCATAGTGTGTACTCTCCCGTTTCCTCACCAAATTGAGGTATTCATTTATTAACCTCCGAGAGAAGAAAGGCTAACTGAGTCAATCAGGGTTCGAACTCGTGACCTTTCGGTTCAGCTCCTTGGTAGTGGCACGGAAATGAAGATCAATACCATATCATTAATTTCATAAAAGGAAGGACGGGAGAAAAAACTACATTATGAAAGTACAAGGAAAAGCGACATTCCATCTGTTAAAAACGTTCCTACCTTTCTGGCTGCAGAAGCTAAAAATGTAAGAAATGTGATTCGTTCGATTACTAGTTTTTCCTACGAAATTATCTTCCCAGTAATTAATGACTAGCTAATGAAATGATCTACATTCAACCAAATCATCATTCATAAATGTCGTTTACAATGGAACGTCCCTACAATAGAAATCATTTCTTGCGCTTTTTCGATGGTTGTACACCTGTCAGACGAAACTTCAGAACAATACACATTTTCATTGGCGCGCTTTTGACAACAGGGATGTTCAGCACACGGCCATCGTTAAAGAGACAGTTAGTGGTCCAACCAGAATGTGTGACCCAAAAAGAACCATCTGTCGTCTGCAGATTTAACAATACCATAACCTTCCTCCCCTCCTGCCGTATTAAATATGGCGTTTACGGTGAAGTTT